GATCCACTGTCCACCCAGTGTGTGATGACCCTCCTACAGGATTGCCCCCGCCCAAGGGAAATACACCGCTCTCAAGGGCACTGCTTCTGAGGTGCTACTCCCTCTCTGATGAAGAGCAGGCTGAGAAACTCCTCTCTCTTGCGCCTGGGTGATGGTACCGCTCTTGAGCTCATGGAGAGCATGCTGTCCTTGCTAGGAACAAATGATGGAGGATTCCTCTTCACCTACCTCTTCCTCTGACAGCTGCCAGCTCCAGTGCGACCTGGCCTTGCCAACTCCCCGCTGCTGGCCGCGAGGGATTACCACTTGCGACTATGGAGCGCCTGGGCATTGTGCAGTGCCTGGGCTTCCCCGTTAAAAATGGTGCCCAAATCTGACGGTGGGAGGCGGCTTTATGAGAATTTTCGCCGTCTTAATAACGTCACAGCAAACAATCGCTATCCCATTCCCCACATCCAGGATTTTTCCGTCCATCTTCACGGGACCTTGATTTTTTTGTAAGGTTGATTTAGTACATGGGTATCACCAGGTTCCCATGCGCGCTGAGGATGTCCCCAAAACCGCCATAATTACTCCATTTGGCCTTTTTGAGTTTTTGCGCTTGCCTTTCAGCCTGAAAGGTGCCACCCAAATGTTTGATGGTCTCGGTCTTGCGAGGGCTGTGTTTCATTTTTGTATATCTAGATGATATCCTGGTGGCCAGCAGTTCAAAGAGACAGCACACGTCCCATCTGCGTCAGGTTTTTCAGCACTTGGCGGCATGTGGCCTAATCATTAACCCGTCTAAATGCCAGTTTGGGTTGCCAATTCTAGACTTCCTGGGCACTGTATTTCCGCTGAGGGTGCGGTTCCATTGCCAAAGAAATTTGGGCTGTTCAAGACTTTCCGATTCCGACATCTATTAAAGCACTGCAGGAATTTTGGGGGATGGGAAATCTTTACAACCATTTTCTCCACAGAGTGGCACACCTGCTGCAGCCGCTATATGGCGCATTGAAGAGTAAAAAGGCTAATGACTCTGTTGACTGATTCCTGGAATGCATTCGAGTGTTTTCCGATGCCAAGTCCACATTAGCTAACGCTGCCCTTCTAGCTCACCCATCCCTGTCGGCGCAGATTGCGTTTACCACTGATGCGTCGGACATAACTTTACTGC